GGTCTGGATGACCCCATCCATTCGGGGTGTGGAGGGACAGAAGGGTTGTTGGCACCTCCGCTGCAGCTGGAACTCGCTGCCACTTCCCGAATCCACCAGCAGCTTCCCTCAGATCTTCAGTTTGCTCCAGGCAGGGGATGGAAACGTCACCAGCAGCTGAATGAACAGTTTAGAGACACTCATCCGAGCTAACACAGCCTGTTTTGCCTGGAGCAAAGGGAGGCACAAAGCAGCAGCGACAGGGCAGCATTGCCCTCCAGAGCTGGATCAGGAGAGGAGGCACCTGCAGCTCCACAGCAGAGGCCTCGCCATGAAACAGTCACCCAGGAGAACAGGGAGAGTCTCATCTCATCTCATCCTCGTGTGCTCCATCGTTGCCAGCAAGAGCAGAAAGGCTTTTTCTCCTCTCGTCCCTCCCGATCAAAGCACTTGTCGCTGCTCTGCAGAAGGAAGGACGCACAGAGGAGCAGGAGATGCCTCCCCTCCCATCCACACGGGCTCGCTGCAAATCTTCCTCCAGGGCTTGAAGGTGGGAAGAAACAAGCTTGGAGCGACAGCATAGGGTGGGTATGAAAGCACTGCTTCAGATGCATCCCACGAAAAAAAGGAATAAAGGCAGTTATCAAACTTACCTGAGCAGCAGGAGAAAAATGCATGAATGTTAAGTCCTGGGAAGAGCAGCTTTAAGGAGGAACAAGAGGGAAAATTACATTTGCAAGCAAAATGTGCCAGGAAGAACTCAGCTAGTCCTTTCCCAGTCCCTGCAAAGCCCAAGCTGACAGTGCCTGTGGAGAACAGCTACAAAGCACAGGTGGGACTGAGGGGTTATTACTGCTGGTATTTTGGTTTGGGCCACACAGCCTCACCCTGATCTTATCCGGCCCCATCTCCAAGCAGCAAACAAAAGGAAGAAGACACAAAATACTTATCACAACACAGATTTAATTTCTTAGGCAGTTATAAAATTACAAAGAGCAACGGGCTAGCAGTGAGAGCCAGACACTTGGTGAGGTGGAATGTTAAGACAGATTTTTCCACTTATCGACACAGATACTGAACAAGTCAGTGAGCACTGCAGGATGCGGGGGGTTTCTCCAGGTAAGGGAGCAAAATGCAAGAGCAAATAGATCCGGGTAGACACAGGGCCAACACCCCACAGAAACCCAGAGCTACAGGTTGAGGCAGAACTCCCCGCTCCAGGGTCGGACACGTGCGGGGGAGCCAGCGCAGGTCCCTGCGGCCGCTCGGCCAAAGCCACAGCACTGACACCTGCAACGAGCACAGCGGCAGCCGTTCGCGAGCCAGGGATAAAACTTCTCGCCCGTTATTTTCAAAGCGGTGTGAGATGAGATTTGCCAGTCGGAAGAGCATTAAGATGGAGGCACGTCACGATTAGAAAAATAGGAATTTGCTGAATTCCTTTGGTTGTACAGTTGGAATCTGAAAGGATTTATTTACAGTCAGAGCCATGCTTTCTTCATTGCAAGCCTTTCACGGGGCAGCAGATTCTAGAAAAAGAAAGGCCTGCTCCGCACGTGTGGAGAAGACACTTGGCCTTGCTCTCAGATGTTAACAGGTTAACTAAAGTTGACTGTTAGCCAGGACAGCTGGAGCACAGAATAGAAACTTCCCAAACCTCTGTAGTGATTAATCCCCCACCAACGCTTTGGACAAAGACTCCCGTCGCTCTGCAAACAGCAGCAGAGCATCTGCACACACCAGTGGGGTACTGAACAGCTCAGCAACCCACAGGGAAAGAAATTCTACTGTCCTACTGCGTGTTGCTTTGGTGCTAATGCCATTGCTGGAGCCAAGAAAGCACAGCACAGGACATAACAGCTCTGAGCTGACCCGCTCACCCAGCCCGTGGCTCCTCAGCTCACTCCTCCCTTCCCACTATTACACACAGGTCAGATGGAGCTTCCCCTCTGCAGACACCTGCCACTGCATTAAAAGTCTTCTCAGGTATTTATTTGCATTCAGGCAGACTTAAAACACAGAGCCAAGAAACTCACCGTGCAGGACTCGAAGCAGCAAGGTACAAGCACACACCTGATCCCCGAGGGAGCGCTCGTGCCAATGCCTAGCTGAACAGGGCATCAGAACAAACAGCTTTTACTAACCTCTTGATGCTTTCTACTTCCTCCTCCTCCTCTGCCAGGCCCTGCCTTTTAACTGCTAGATTTGTATCTATCACTTGTATTTTGGAAACAGCGACATAAGAAGAGAGCGGAGCAGATAAAAGCTTTCTGCCTCAGAACTTGAAAAACAGAGTAAACAGGCAGATGTCGAGACAGCAGCTGAGTACCTGCACTCGCTGCCCATTTGCACATCAAGAGAAACAGCTCCTTCCCTACGGTACTCACTGGGAACTGATCCCACTGCAAGCTAAGACCTGAGTTTAGGATTCCAAGTTTTTCAGTGTTCCCCCCTCCCCAGCTTTGGTTGTTTCAGTTATCTCTGCCCCAACCCTCCACCGAGTTAAAAGCTATCAAGAAGTGCAGCTTGAATCAAGAGATTCAAGGCAGGCTATGCAGATCAAACACAGTCCTTCCAAGGAAGGTCAGTCTAACTCAAGAGGGGCCATAGTTTCCATATCCTAAACTAGAAGCCCATGGCCACACCACAGGGCTAGAGCCAAGGCTTACCCTGGGGCTGTGAGACCACCAGAACAGAAATGTTTAGACAGCTCCTGATCACAGAGAACGACAGTGCAATCACATGCTCCACACTCAGGTGAGGATGCAGCTGCAAACAGCATTTCTGGTATGCTTAAAGAAAATAAAAATAAAAATACATCTTTGTGTCACTGGGATGAACCCCCAACCTGAAAGGCTTTTAACTTTGGTAGCACACCACAACAGAGTGGTTTCTGAGGGCCTAAGGCCATCACAGAGAAGTTATATTAGTCCTATTTTATCTGAGAAAACGTTTATATCCTCATACAATGAACTCAAGACAAACTACTGCCACCACTCTTAAAAAAACACAGCCAGTGTGGACCAGAAACCACCTGCTCCACCCTACTAGCTCTGTGCTGGTCACTAACCCCAGAATATTAATGCTTCTGCTCTCTAAAAATTTTCCCAGTTACAACAACTAAAAGACACTGGCTTCCAGCTTCTACTCAGGAGTGAACTGAGCAGGGCACAGCAATTCCACAGTGTGTGGCTCAGGAGTAGGAACATATGGAAGACACAAATACAGTGAACATGGGATCTCAAACTCACCTGTGGAAAATAAGGTGTGAAAGGTAAGAAGGGGGTAAAATTCGTACAACAAATTTTACCCATTTTTAGCAGTAAGGTCAGTAATTACAGTTAGGGGGGGATCTGACTATGAAACATGGCATATGTTACACTCCAGAGTTGTAAAACTTGTGTGCTTAGCAGACCTGTGTTGCTGGTGCATGTTTACTGCTAACTGTGCTTGTGGAGCCTAGGCCAAGCCTCCAAGGATGTTATCAGGAATGTTACCAGCTTTAGTCTGGAATGAGCAGACATCTGACAGCTCCTGGGTGGTTCACTTTGCCAAAGCTCACTGAGCTTGCATTTGAGATTTGTATTTTACTCTGCAGCTCAGAGCTCCCCAGCAAAGCTCAGAGCACTTGCAGTAAAAAAGAAAGAAAACAAATAACTCCAGACCATGGAATTGAGTTATCAGCCAGATCTTAAAGTCAAGAGACTGAGTAAGATTTCAGCATGACTCTGGGGTTTGCTGTGAACGTGCTGGGTTCTGGAGGGGATACCACAAGCCACTCCAACCGGCTGCTCAGGACAGTCCAGGGTTTCAGTGAGTAAACATGCCTGATCCCTTCTCTCCCACACACAGTCGTGTACAAAGCCCTTCCACTTACACGGCCTGACAGCAGCCTCACTGACACAGAGGTCTCCTGGCAGGGGCTACCACTTTCTTCTGTACTTTAGAGGCAGGGGAAGCCCCCCTGCCCACACAGGCTTTGGGGACAAAACCTACTGCTTCTGCTCAAGAGAAGAATTAACGGTACCAAGTCCTCAAAACACATCACTGCCTGGTGGTGACAGGGAGCTCACATGTAGCTGGAGCACTCAGCCTCTGTCCTCCTTTCAAGATCTGCAATTTCCTTGTCTGTTTTTATTTTTACTTCTTTGCAAGCAGTCAGTAGAGGGAAAGGAAGAAACCTACGTTGCTACACAAAAGGCAAGGGAGGCTCGTTTTGGCAAAGGAAGGTAACGCTCACCAAGTACTTCACTAATCACTTGCTCACTGTTATCCAAGACTTAAAAGAAGGCACATTTACAACCCCAAAAGTAGTCTGCAACACTGCTCAGCCTTGGAAAGCTCTAGCCAGGGTCAGGGCAGTCATGGATTTATTACCGAATTGCCAAAGAGACAACCAGTCCTTGAGTGTATCACAGCAGGTACTCTGATGAGAGAGGAAAATGAGGAAAAAAAAAAACCACCAAAAAATAAAAGTATTGTTATCCAGCAGAAGAGAACCCAGAGGAAAATTAATATTTCAAAATCATTTATATTTACATCAGTATCCTGAAAAAAATCACGAACCTTCACTGTTAGAGCAGTGCACTCAGCCCCAGACTGAGGAGAAGCAGGAATTGAGAGCTTTGCCTTGCAGCAGAAAACCTTAAGGCTGTTTATAGAGTGGGGCTGCCAAACTCTACAGGGACTTCCCTCCAGCCTGACAGAATCCTTGCTTTGGATACTTTAAAAAAAGTATAAAAAAAGGTTATTGCTACTCTGCCAAGAAAATAGGACAATGTGCAGGAAAGAAAGAAAGTGCATTCCAATTCTTCTCTAAAAAACCCACAAGCTTATCAGCCACTACTACAGACACCCAAGTACTAAAGGTGCACAAACAAGATTCTCTAACACTTCTTCCCTCGTTCTAGCTTTCTTCCTGCAGCAATTCCTTCCCTGTAAAGGCACTTTCCATATTCTATATCCTTACGCAGGGAAACACTTCCAGTTTTCCATCCCAACAAACAGAACAGTCCCACAAATACACAACATTCAGAAGGAATTTTAATTAACAAAATGGTCCAGGAAAGGGAAGGGAGAACCCCCAAAAAAACCAGGCCATTGCATTTGAAAGGTTGCATGTCAGTCACTAGGTATGCCTGCAAGCCCATGCACAGGAACCATTTGGACCTTTGTCAGTGCAGAACTAGTCTCAGCTTCCAGAACCACTTCTCTACTCCTTCTTTATATAGGCTAAATATTATGTACATATATAAAAAAAATACAAACTTGAGTTTGTTATAAAGTGGCTTCTCTCTCTCTCTCTCCCCCTCCTATGCTTGCTTGGCACATGAACGCATGCAAAGCTAGTAGGCTCTGAGGGCTGCACAGACAGCAGGTTTTGGCAACAAAAAAAAAAAAAATAGACACAGCTAAAATAGATAAGCAAGATTAAAAGCCACTGAATTGAAAACCATATATTTTTCCAATTGTATTGAATCAGAACTACAGCTACGACTTTAAACTGTAAGAGTCTGTCATCCTCTCTCCCAACTCATGTCAAAGTTCATAGCAGCATAACACGAGGTTCCTCAAGAAACATCAAGCCAGTGTTCTCTGCTTCAGGAGTGAGTTCACAGGTCCAAGTTTAGTCTGTCCGAAGGATCATGGGGGGATGCTCACTGTCTTCATCCAATCTAAGTGAGCTGGTTTCGTCTTCCAGGCAAGCTCCACCCACAGCACCCAGGTCATCCGTATAGGCTGGAGAGAAAGGAATAAGGAGTTGGGGAATCAGCAGCAACAAACTAAGGCTTGGATCCAGAGTGAATGAGTAGAGCTGAAGTACCAGGCGCTACTTGAAATAGTTTCACTGCCACCCTATGTTTGCTTTTATCATGACTCTGTTTCATGGCTGTGTTTCTCCAAGCCAAGAAAAATTCAGGATCAAAATCAAGCTCCTCTGTGTGTGTGCTTTGGGCAGGCTGATGTTTTTTAGTCTCCACAGATGCAGTACAGATGCAATATGTGCCAACTTGTCCTTCCTCTGCAGTGAGGCTCTAACCTGAGTGCCAGAGCTGGCAAAAGCTCCACTGACTTGGATAGCTGCAGCATTAAACAAGTTCTCATCCTCTCGATTTAACAGAGCAGCAAATCAGGCTAAAAGGTCACCGTTCCCATAAAGGAACAACTGCAGCATTTATCAACCTTGCTAAAAAACGTAAAAAAAAAAAAAAAAAAAAAAAAAAAAAAAAAAAAAAGAAAAAAAAAAGGAGGGGGGCTATAATTCAGATGCTTTGCACAAGGTCTGGGTGCGGAACTGTACGGAATAACTGGTTAGGGCGTCTCAAGAACCATCTGGCAAGTACTAAAACTATCACTACGGTTATCAACCACAACTCAAGACGAAATTCTACCCGGAAAGCAGCAAAGACAAGCGATCCATCTACAGAAGGCTACTGCACACCACGAGGGGTTCTTCTCCTACTGCTGCTCACCAATGCTCCACACCGCGCACGCAGTCACGCAAAGCTCCGTGCTGCCGTGGACCAGCTCACGCAGCCATCTAGAACGAAGCGACACGCAGAGGTGCTCTCTGCCCCATTCCCAGCCTTCTCCTTACCATGCCTTGTGGGTGAGGAAGGCACATATGTACCTTTAGTCACAGCGGCACTGTACGTCTGCGCTACCAAGGGCCGGTCGTGGGATGCAGACTCGAGGATTTCGTTGGCCGGCTCCATGCTGCCGTCCAGCCTGCCGAGCACAGAGAGGTTACCTGGAGAGCTGACCCCACCTGGGCACAGCGCAGCTTCAGCTGGCAGCCACAGGAAAATATCTCATCAGATGGACGAGAAGAACACACAGAAATGGAACGGGAGGAACTGGCAAGGAGGCGCCTGACAACACTTCGTGTTTAACTCTAAAGACTCATCAGCGTCCTGTTTGCCCCTTGACACGGCATCAGGATCTAAACAAGAGTGTGTGATTAAAAAAAGCTCCATTCCAATCAGCAGTAGTAGATTGTCTTGAGCTCTGTCCACTACAGAAGTGGTTGCTTCTTACACAAATATTACAAAATCCTCTAGAAAAATATTAGAATATTATTATATAATAAAATAATAATAGTAAAATATTAGAATATTAGAGATTAAGAATTTGATAAAGGCTTCCCTCTACGAGGCTTCACTTCATCTGTGAGTGAAACCAGAGGTCATGCCTTAAAGTGTTCAGATAAATGTATGATTTTTGACCATTATTATAGACAGACCAAAGCTGCAAACCTCAATTATCATCATGAGTTACTGCCTTTAATTCTATGATTGATCAAGTAATTTGACTATATCACCCTGGCTTTTCCTTATTGAAAAACACAGTGTTCTACAGTACTGCTACAGAACATTAGCTGACTGGCCTATATGCAAGGAATTTTAGTTGGGAGGGAGAGAATATGGATAATTCCATGAGCCAGATTCCCCTCTGTGAAGTCAGAGCAACATCTCTTTCTCATGTTTGTAACCACTTCATTTATTGATGAAGAGGGTGGTGTCAGTCGTTTCAAGTTCTTGTTTAAGTAACTCAACTCAAACTGCCAAGAGGAAAGAGGATCACAGAGCAAATAGCGATTGATCCCTCCCTGCACTCAGACAGTGTTAAGTTTCTGATGGTAAAGCGGAGCTTGGTGTAGTGGATACTTGAAAGGAAGGCTCAGGGGGATTCTGAAGTTACTCATTCATGTCAGAGGCCTGGAAGAAGATTAGTTTAAAGAAATGAGCTGTTCTAAGTTAAACTCAGTTCTGTTCTGCAAAAGTCTGAGAACAAACTGGATTTTGAGAGGAAATGAAATACAACAATCCTCAGCTAATGTGGACTTACTTGTGCTGCTTCATTAGTGTGCACTCGCCTCCTTCCTGGGGGTCCAGGTTGTACATGTAGAGATACCCATCGGCAGCTCCCACCAACAAACGAGGGATCTTCTGGATTCTACACAGGTTTAGGGGAGAGATTAATAAGAACAGATAAATAACAGCCTATTGAAAAACAGATTATTATTAAGAACAGAAGAAAGCACACTCTCCTCCCTTCCCGTGATTTAATGGTTGGACTCGATCTTAGAGGTTTCTTTTCCCAACCTAAATGATTCTACGGCTTTTAAGGCATTATTTTCCACACTTCTGCTCCTAGACAGGGAATGCTGTTAACAGTTAGAGCACCCAGGAAAGACCTGTGTATTAAAAAATTATGGCACAACGGCATTTTGGGGCTAACAGGATGCCACAGGAATCAAGCAATTATATGTAACTCATTAAAACAGATTCAGAAGTTACCATCCTGTTATCAAGCCTTGTGCGACTCCAAAGACAAATATTCTAATGGGAAGGATTTGCTTATTTCTGAAATGTTGCAAAGCTTAATTATTGCTTAAAGGGTGCTTTGAGATCAGAGGAGTGAGAGTACAGACATGAAGTCAATTTAGCATAAAAACTATAAAAACCCTCACAAAGTGAGTTTACTACTGCTTAGCTTATTGCTTTGGTAGCTGTGCCAAATGGGACCTGTCTTTGAGGAAGACAGCATAAAAGATTAGATTTAGTCCTAAAAATTAACTTTAATGAATGCTATGCTGTTTTAGAGACAAGAATTATATGAACTTGCTTTCAAAGACTTCTTTAACGGTGAGGCTGGATTGCCCAATTTTGCAATTTGCTAACAACACACAGTATCACTCCCCATAGCACTAATGGAAGCAAGTGCCATAAAAGCCCATGGGTCTGTTCTCAACATTCTTCTTTCAAAATTAAAAGACATCTTTAAACAACGCTTGGAAATTGGGCTATTCCCACTCAAATATTATGCCTTTTCCTCCTCCCCTCACAGGACTGCGAGGTGTTGGCTCTGACACGTTGCTTTCCACTAGAAAAGGCTTTTCAGTGACTACAGGTGATCCACTGCTCTGCTGCAGATTGGGGTTATGTTTTACAGTGTCAGCCTCTCCAGAGCCCGAACCCAGCAAGGGTGGAGGGTGCAGGTTCCTTGGCAGTACTCACGTGGCAAGTGCGCAGATGTTTTTGTGCCCACAGAAGGGCAGACGGACCGTGGCAAAGGCTCTACCCTGGTTGAACATCTCCGTTACTTGGGAGGGCAGGTAGCTTGTGGAGGCCATCAGCACTTTTCCAAAGTAACCTGTCCAGGTCGTAGGCTCTTCCTGAGGTCTACAAGTCAGAAGAGAAAAGTGACTTGACTTTGCCTTTCACCTTAGAGGGAAAAGCGCGTGAACGCTTTGAAACATTTTATTTTTAAAAGATATCAAGAAGCTCTTTGTTTCTCTTCAGAAATAACTGACACCCTTGAGAACTCTAGCACAATTAATTTATGCTACAGGGCACAACGTGTCCTACAATACCCTCAGCCTGTTATTTAAGCATGTTTGACTGTAAACTGATGCTTCTGCACAGAAGACTGCATTTCATAACGTTCATTATACAAGAGCAGAATCCAGTGGAAAGTGCTACGCTCCAAGATTTTATTAATCTGTTTATCACTAAGCAAATCATTGTTTCCAATGACTTCCACAGAAACGCAGTAAGACTGTCCTCTCAAATCATAAATAGGAACATTTTACAACTTGGTGCCTTTTAAAGCCCCATATGCAGCTCGAAGGCAGCGATGAGATAGTTCTTCTCATACGGATGTCAGAGGACAAATGTAACTGAAAAAATGTTAAAACTGCTCCATATTCCTGTCAAGGATGGCCAAGTTCTCTTTGGCAGAAAAGCCTTTTCTGCTCAGTGGGAGAACAGTACACAGCTCAGCTGCAGTTGCTGATTCATAAGTGACTTCTTATGCCCTTTACTTTACAGAAGTGTTCAAAAGAGTCTGTCCACACTTTGGAGAACTCATCCTGTCGAGAATAATCAATTTTAAAGCCTTTTCCTTCCAAGATCTAAGGCACATCTGAAACCTACTTTTCTTTCACAGTCTCAAGTTTGAAGATATGCACTGTCTCTGTGTTACTGGATGCAGACAGAAACATGCCATCCATGCTGAAGGCCAACGAACAGATGCTCACACACCTGGGGGAAAAAAGAAAACAAACAAAGAGAAGAAAAACAACAAAGCTAAAATATTTGGTTTGATTCAGCAGATTCCTCGGTCACCACTACTTTTCTAAAAAGAAAAAAAACCCCAAACTTCCATAACAAGCATTGTGAATTCTCTGATACCTTCCTGAAGCTATTCAAGCACGAGATTAATTAACAATGTTCAACTCTGATGCATACCAGATATGGAGATCAATTAGTAACAATCTGAGCTCAGTCTTACCTCTGTATAAAGCACAGTAGAACTACAGAGTTACTACTACCACAAACCACAGTACCACTTCACCATGGCTATTAATGACCACAGCACTAGAAGGACTTAGAGGAGAGTGAGAATATTAGATGTACTGCCTCCAATTGCCACAAGAATACAATATATCCTACAAAAGGTGACCCACTTTAAACAGGTTCCCTCACCAATAAATTTTTAAAAGGCAAGAGGGAGTACAATTCTGACAGGATTGATTTGTAGTATAGTCAAGTCCAAAGGAATGAAATTGGAAGACATTCAAGCTGAAACTGTTATAAGCACAGAATGCAAGGATGAATGAAGATGAAAAGAGGCAAAAAAAATCAGGATGCCAGCTCAATTGCAGAACATACTGGAACTCAACCATAAGGAATGAGCTTCAGGTAATTAGCCCAGTTGAACTTTACCTCTTCACTCCCCTTCGGAATTCAAAGAGTTTCTGTCCCTCTGGAATGGAAAACACTCTTATTACTGTCCCCTGCAAAGAAAAAAAAAAAAATAAATCATTTTTCACTTCAAGTTGATTCATTGTGTATTAGCTCTAGTGAGCAGAGTACAACTGGAAGCAGCAAACCACTTTGCTGTTAACTTATTGCCGTGGTGCACCCCAGATACGACATGAAATATTTATGGAGCTTGTTTGAAGGATGTGTTTGAAGAGCACTGAAACAAGAGGTGGGAGCTACTAATGCAGAGAACAAGCTGTGCTTTAAAACCAGCCCTTCTTATCATATTTGATCATGAAAACGACCACACCAGACAAGTACCAGAGTGCAGTCACTTGGATGTCTTTATGCCTTTATCAGATGCAATCAGTCACACCTTTACAGTCTCAGCTTATTACTCAAAGAGCAGAGGCTTCAGACTCTCTAATTTATACATTTTACACGAACGATTTGTCATCACATGCCAAAGACTAGCAAGGCACTGCTCTCCATGCTGACTTTAACTGTCTTGTTTTCATTAGGAAGACAGCATCAAAACAAGACAGCTAATTTCTAATAAGTCTCCTGCAATAAAGGCAGAAAGACTTCGAGGATTGCCCTAATTACAGCCAGATTAAAATGTTTAATTTAAATAACCTTATTATCCCATATTTCACAGCATGGAAATTGTGTCAAATGTCATTAACAGCTCTTAACTTAGATTTCCCATTGTAGCTAAGCCTTCTTTTTTGGCACTTGCACATGGAACTGTGCACATTCAAACTTCCTTAAAATGCTTAGTGACAGATTTGATTTTTATCACTGTTGGCAAGTCAATCAAAAGCCCTCTTACCTTTTCTGAGGCAGTGGCAAGTTTAGTACCACTTGCATCAAATGCCAAAGCAGCCAAGGGACTATCATGAGCTGGGATCATATTAGCAGCTCTCTGCAGTGAATCAATAAAACAGAACCTTAGCACAGTACACGTCAAAAGGCTATACATGTGCAGTTTAAGACTGCATATTTAAGCACATTCAAGGCAAATATGGGTCTTAGTTTATAGACAACAGCTTCAGTATTTGTTTCAGTAACTGCTAAGTACATAAAATTATCACTGAATTACGGGCATAGAGAGTACAAGCAGCAGGAAGACACCTCAAATAGAAATCACTTTATTCCACCCATTTGCCCAATTCTACTCATTAACTCTAATATCAGCACCTGTATTTTCTTTGATGACGTTCTGAGAAGCCTGGCTATAGGAGATACTGCAGCCTGATGCACAGGAACCTAATTGTCCAGTAATTCCTCTCTGAGCAAATTAAGTAATTTCCAAAACCTGCATCTTTAGAAATGGAAGCAGCATTCAAAGATCCTTACCAGGTTGATGGTGTCAAAGACTTGTACTTCTCCAATAGTTGCACTCCCTGGGTAGGCCAGGTAGCAATTATCATTGTTTATTGATAAAGCACACAACCCTAGAAGGGATGCAGAGAAACAGAATTAGGAGGAGGCAAATTCCAAGATTTAAGCAGCAAAACTTTCTGATTCTGTGTTTGAGTGTCACAAAGATAACTCAAATTATCAGCAGAAACACAACAAGGACGAGCAATCTCAGAGTCAACCTGCAACATATTCAACTATTTAGCATAAGTTAAAATTTAATATAAAATAGAAAGAGAAGAATACCAACAGAGCTAAAATAACTGATTAAACAGTAGAATTTCCCATATCTGCCACAATTCCTAAAGCATTAACCTGACAAAGCCTTTAACTACACCAAGTGCTGTCAAAATCCAGTTTTTATCTCTACTACTTCTTTCTAACATTTCAACACATCCACTGCAGGAGACCAAATTGCTGGGAAGATGCAGTTTGAGGCAGAGTCTGTTATTTGTTCTCAAAAAAAATCTCTCCTGGATCAAACACGGAGGCTTTAAGACAACACTCGTGTTTAATTGTTACTTTTATTTGAAAGTGGAATTAAGAACAACACAGTTCCCTGTGGGGAACATCATACACTGACAGCACTTTTAAGCTGTGCTGGGTTCTACCAACATACCTGCAGGATTGGGAGGTGTCTCCCTGATTGTATGTAATACCTTCATGTCTCGTATGTTGTGTATATAAAGAGACTCTTCCAGACATACTATCAGCCTCTGGAAAAGGGAAAAAAAAAAAGGACAAAATGCTGACATCATCTGGATGACTAACAAGATGTCACTTGTTTAACACCACCTCAGAAATCAAATTAGCTACTGTTTCCCTCGTCATTTTAAAACAGGAATCCCATCATCCCACACTCAGTTTTTTGGGGCAAGGACAGACATTAAGAAAATTTTTCTTAATCTTCAGATGCCATACCCTCTACTTTGAATGAACTGGCTGAAGACAGAAGTTTGTAATTTCACCAGTTCAGTGACGCTTCTAAAATTTTTCTTTTTCGAAAAGAATTTAGCAAGCACTATTTAAAAACATAAGAAGTTAGCAGGCTTGAACAGAAACTGTCAGCCTCATATATTTTCATATTAGGGATCACAGGATGATTCATACTGGGAGAGACTTCAGGAGGTCTCTGGTCCAACCTCCCACTCAAAGCATGCCCAGCTTACTCTGGGCATTTCCCTAAATAAATACATAAACTCAGAAGCAAAAATACTTAATTAAATAGGAGTACTGAGATGCCCCGTAGAAGCAATAGTTGGAAAACTACAAGTCCATTTCAAATGGCAATTCTGTCACCAAAGGAAGAGACACCAAGTGCCAGAATAAGATCCACAACCCCTTTTCCCAGGTTTCCACCCAGGCAAAAACCACTACTCACCTGTCTGTTGAGTTTGACAGCCAAGATGGTGTTGGAGTAACTGTAGTTGCAAATCTCTGTCCCCTTCTTAAAGTGACAGACTTTCAGCTTGCGTGGAGCTTTAAGGCTGACTATGGCCACCAGGCTGCTGGAGAAGAGCCTCTCCACGATGCACACATCTTCTGTGTCAGCTGAGGGATCACAGGAACGAGGGGAAAACACAGAGGGGCATTTCAGGGAGGAAGAATGATGCACAGCAACAGGAAATACTGTCTAAGAAAATCATAGGATCGTAGGTTCAGTCTGTGTAAAAATACAGCCTAACAGCACACGCCCAGAATCCAATAGAGAAAAATCCCGAAGATACAAAAAACGGTAAATTGTCAAATGACAGAATTTTACAACCTTCTTTTATCTCTGTAGAAATCTAAGAAAATAATTTTTGGGCCTTTTTTTTTTGCTTTGTTTTGTTTTTAAAGCTATACTAAGCATGAAGGGTTTTTGACTATCAAAAACCTTGGCATTCCCACACACCTCTCCACAGTTATTGTACTCAAAGAAGCAGTAAACTTCGCTCAATGGTTAACACATTCCAACCCATAAAACTGCCAGAAAAAAAACCACAACAAAAAACAAATAACAAATGAAAGAGCTTGCTTCTGAAGGCTTCTGTTTTGGCCAAGAGACACATTAAATAATTAACTTGCACTGTTCTCATCACCAGTGATAGAAATTCCACGAAAAAAGTTCTGTTCAGCACACGATGCTGCCATCACTGCGCGGTACGTCTGCTTTCAAAGTGCTTTTTCTGGGCAGTTATTTCAAGGAAAAGAACACAAAATATTTAATGTTCTACATTCTTTTGAGAGAAACAGCCTCCTTATGGAAAAGGAGCAGGTTTATACTACGTATTTTCAGTACTCTATGCGACATAATTGACTTTTATCTACATCTTGTATTTAATACGGTACTTTTCCAGAGAAGACAAAACAGCACACAGAGGCTTTGAAAATTCAATTTTCTCATGCAATGGGGATAATGCATTTTAGTAATGACTTTGTTTTCAAGGAATTGTTCTCCATTTTCTTGATACTGCACGAAACACATGAAAAAGAAACACAAAAATCTGCTTCAATAAATGCACGCAGAGACTTTGAAATGTGGAGGTCTGTGTTCCTTGAATCAGACTAGTTACATAAAAGGCTCTCAAATATTTTAGAGGATGGGTTATATCAGTTTTCCATCTGAGCCTGGAGTCCTTCAAAAACGATGACATCCTTTTACAAGAGTCAGAAGACCAGCACACAGAGACCCCAAAACCACAGCCTGGCTGCTCCCAGACAAGCACAGCTTCTTTCCCCATTCAGGGACAACCGGGTTCAGACACAGCTTCTGGGATTTGTCACTCTCCCAGCCACGAGAACTGGTATTTCAGAAGGGGAACAGCATCAGAGATTCAGCTAGAAAACGTACTGTCCTCTGCTGCGCTGATAGGAAGGGTGGGCAGCAGGGAAGGCACACAGGGAAGAGCACTATCAGCACTATCAAGAACTAAGCAGTCAGATGGAAGAAATAGATTTTCAACAAGCAAAATGCTTCAAAGGTATTGATAATCCTTCAGTCTCACCATAAAAAGACTATAATACAGATTGTTACTCTTAGAGAAGGGCTCTGTGATGGGCTTTTAATTACACTCACTTAAAAAATACAGGACGCATCTCTGGTCCTTTGTCTTCCTCTAACAGGAAGAAGAGATAAAAATCTCTTCACAGCTGCCAAGTAATTTATGCTGCCCAACAGCAATGCTCAAGTGAGTACCAGGCTATCCTGCCTATCCTATGTTCAGCTGACCTGAATTAATCATATGTTTAGCAGCACTAAAGCCCTATAGCAATGCTGTTACTCACAGGGTTGTGGGTTTTTTTTTTCTATTAGTATTATCTCCTTTACGCTACACAACCCAGCCTTGCCAGAAACTCAGATTCAAAACACTGTAAGAACAAAAAGAACTGCAAAACAAATTAAGTACCAGCAGCGAGGGGAGAACAAGCAAACACATAACAAGATTAGTTTCATAAACACAAGCATGGAGCATCGCAGACAAGAGCTGGTTAGAGCCAGCTAGATTATGATCAGCTGTGCCTTTATTCCATTTTTAATCCAAGAACATGAAGCATGTTAGAAGGATTCATTAAGCCTTAAATCACCCTTCAATCTGATGCTTGTTTTTACAGGGGGATCAACTGCGCAGGGAGGCAGGAGATTTGTGCAGTCACAGGAGAAGTCAGTGACGGGAGCAGCCAAATCTTCCATCTTGTCAGTTGTTCTCTCAAACACGAGACAGCTGGGGCATATTCTGTAGTTTAGTTTAAACACCTACACAAGAGCTGGCAGATCAATCTTCCAGAGGAGAGGGGGGGGGAGTCCTTAACGGCGCTCACTCAAAACAACACAAAGTCTTTAGAACCATTTAAAACTAAATTGGGAAGCAGGAGGGACTGTCTGGGAGGCCTCAAGATACCTTTCCTTTCGGAAAGGAGGTACCCAGTACACAGGAAGCCCTCCACCCCCATATCAAGTTTTAACAGGCATGGGTTGCAAATCCAAGACCGAAAATTATTTAACTCATATAAAAAAAAATGAAGGTCTCTAAATATTTAGATGTGCTTTGGGCAAAGGTTGGCTGGCTTACGCAGGCCAAAGCATTACATCTGCTGTATCACATTTCCTGTGATAGACAAGGAATAATGGGTTCAAATTGAAAGAGGGGAAATTTAGCTTAGATATAAGGAAGAAATTCTTCCCTGTGAGGGTGGGGAGGCCCTGGCACAGGTTGCCCAGAGAAGCTGTGGCTGTCCCATCCCTGAAGTGTTCAAGGCCAGGTTGGATGGGGCTTGGAGCAACCTGGGCCAGTGGAAGGTGTCGCTGCCCGTGGCAGGGGATGGGACCGGATGATTTTTAAGGTCCCCTCCAAACCAAACCATTCCATGATTCTACTAAATGTTACTACACACTGTGCTCTCTTTTTATGGACTTAACACTCAGAAAACTTACAATATCAACACAGGCATCCCAGAACAGTCCAAGGACTGGAATCAGCAGGTCTAAATTCCAATTCCAGCTGCTCTATCAATTTATTGCGAGATTTTGAACAAGGCACTTTACTCAACCTGTATTTTTAATTTCAAGGACTGCCTAGAAGGTGCAGTCCTGCAAAGTGCAGTTGACCTCTCAGTGTATTTATTCAGTGTCTTGTGTAACAGGAGTCATCTTCACTGAGTCTCCTGGGGTGGTATCAGGCCAGATACTGTAAGTGCCTCACATACTACAGAGGTCAGGTACCTAAACTCAACAGCAGAAAATGGAATTCAAGCCACTTATTAACCAGTAAAACCAGACCATGACTCAAATAGGAAGATGTAGCTGCAGCACAACTTAACCTGACCACAGGTGCCTAATTTGAACCTCACAATTACTTCTCTCCATTGACTGTGTACAGAATCAGGCTGTCGTTGCAGTAATAGGTGACCTGAATCACACACCATTTCCAAACTTTGGATGCCACAGGGTCAGGTCACTTTGGGAATGGAGTCTGAGGACAACTCTGTCATGGGATCTCACTATAAATGCTGACATCATAGCTATTGGTACCACCTGCTCACATGGAGTTTACAAGAAAGCGAGGATACTCACACATAGCATTCATGGTTTACTTATTAGCATCTCAAAAAAGGGAAGTCTACGACCTGCTGGCAAAACCAGAGATACCACTTCTCTCCCAGGCCTCCATCCATGTCATCTCATTTCCTACCCGACTGTGACCAGTACTGAGAAGTTTCAGGAATGTGAATTATTCACCCTTCTGTATGAGCAAACTCGCAGTTATCATGTTAAAAAGTATTTTTCTAACAGCAAACATTAGGATTAAAAAAAAAATATATATAATTAAGGTTTTGTTTTCTTATTTGACAAAGGTATGTCAGTGCTTGCCTGCCCCAACAGCCAGTATAAAGACCCCAAAGACACACTCTCCCACAGGAGTAAATTATTATTTTTATGCCCAGCTGCTACATAACCTGGCTAATGGACATAAGATTAGAAAAGCAGAGTTCCCACAGCCACTACCAAACTTCACAACATCCCAGCTAAATTTAAATACAGAACACTAATATACAGTTTTACCCTGCCAGCATCAATTGTTTTGTATTTGTTTGTTATTTCCACTTAAGGTTCCTCTTACATCAGTTTCAAACAATCTGTGAAAAAATGAAACACGTCTTACTCTTCCCACATTAGGTCAACTGAGGGGATCAAAAAAAAAAAAAAAAAAAAAGGGAAGAAAAAGAGGAGATACTCACTGCATTCATAGATCTGCTCTAATTTGTCCACAGAAGAAAGAGAGAAGAATTTGTAGCCTGATTTACTGCCAACTGCAAGGGATCTGCAAAAGAAACAAGCCAGTCAGGAACACAAACTACATCAGCTGTGATTACCCTTGGACAGATTCTTACCCTGTTCTAACCTCCAGCTGGGTTAGCTCGGTAAGAAAAACGATAAAAAGCTTTTCCAAAGAAGCCACGACAGACACAGCCAGCGGCCCTCAACTCTGAAAAGGCCCAAACAGCTTCAGAATTACAGAAATTCCGAATTACAGAATTCAGGTGTGGGATTCTGCTCCACATTTTAATGAAAGCAGAGGTCACAGCCCGATGTGAGCCGACTGCCCAATTCTCACCGGTGGTTTCTCCACACAGCCTAAAAGCCTCAGCGTGGAGGAAAGATGATGACTTGAATAATGTAATGCAAACCAATTACATCATTGCCTCATCATTAGAGGTGACCTCCGAGACCTTTCAAACTGGGCCGTCTGGGGATTTTTTGTTCTTTACAGCGTAACCGTCCCCGACCATCCCAAAAGAGTTTTTATATTAAAAAAAAAAAAAAAAAAAGTAATTACAGGCTGCCAACTCTAATTTTCCCTGGCTTTATGTGATGATGTTCTAGCACCTCCATTGTTCGGTCTCAGTCTTACAAATGCTCCCACCGAATCTTTGATCAGAGGCACCCTCTTAAAAATGCTGGTCACTGATGTTAAACAGATTTGAACAATAGCAGAACACCAAAAAACTGACTACAAACCCTTCTTTCCTCCATTACTCAATTTTCACACTTAGCTCACAGACCAGTTAATTGCTTTTCCAGTTAGAGTCAAAGACAGGTCTTAAATTTTAAGCTAGAAAAACCTTCAGCTTGTCTTGCAGGTCTTTACACACCCAAGGCAGCAGACAACGGCTCGTTCTTGTTTCCCCTCCCCATGTGGAGGACGATTTTATGCCACAGATTAAGAAAATTAAGAGCCAATAAGAACTGTACAGAAGTGCATCAGTGTGCTTATAGTTCATACATTTCTTACTGCCAGGACACGCAGAGAAAAAACTAATTAAATTCCGATACAGCACATTTCGATGTGCCCAATTGCGGTAAGTCATTCGATACGAGGCTCAATGCCAACCCTGCCAGTCAGCCTGCCAAAAACGCCCTTCTGAGCTCAGCAAGATGATTCTCAACAATTCAGATGCACTAACAATTAATTCTGCCTTTGGAAGACAATGCAGATTCCTAGATTTCATGTTCTCCCTGTATTTTCCACCCGTGGCTCCAAAGTGAGCCCTTCTTAAACTTCAACATAAACAGAAGATTAAAAATTGTTCCTCGAGCGGTTTACCCTCTGAAATTAAGATCTCGAACTACAAAATCAAATTCTGTATGACGGTATGACCTTCTCTACTAGAAAAAAAAATACAACTGGCACAATCTGGTTAAGAAATTATATTTGAGAAGGTTTAAGTTTTCAAATTAAAATATGTACCAGGCAGGCAGGCAGAAGTCCCCAGATTCAATAACCAAGATATTAAAAAAGCGTATTAGGCTTAGAGATAGAGAGCAACCATAAAACAAAATTTTGTTGCTGCTCCTCTAAGTCACCTCAGAAATACTGAATTTAATTTTACTCCAGACAAAGTCAGTATGTTCAGCACACTCTATCTGATTAGAAGCCAGAAACACTGAAGTGTTTTTGCTCAACTACTTTTGTACAACTCAATGAAAAACCCACATTCTGTGAAAAAAAAAAACCCGTGGAACTCTTAATTTGGTAAAACAAAAGCAATGAATCAGCTTCTCTTAGCTCTTTTATGGCTTCCCTCAGAAGAAAGTTTAACAAAGAATGACATTAAAACTGTCACTTTGCAAAGGTAAACAAGCACTCCACTGAGTTAAAAATAAATGGGAGTCACAAGGCTCCTTGCAACATAAACTTATCCACAAAAGACACGGGATGATTTCTTCCTGGAGAATTCCACACAGCAGCTATTTGTGAGTGTATTACCAGGCAGAACTGTATTCCTGCATTGTCCTTACAGCTTCAGACACAGAATGTTGCTGAATCACTGTTTTGCTGACAGCAGCACTGAAACCAGCGAGGACGCCCATTTTTCTAGTCCTACAACTACTTATACCTCATTTAAATGAGCCACAATGGCAAAAATGAGTTGTGATAACAATCATCATCAGTAGAAGCCAAAATGAAGAAGCACAGGGCAGACCTTTCCATCCACGGCAACTGCTTTTTGTTATTTCTATCAGGATCGAGGTGATGAAGCCACAAATCATTTGTTTACACTTCAAGTCAGCGTAATTAAACCCATTTCAGAATTCAAGCATTATAAGCCCTGCAAAATAACCCCTTTTTCTCCTAGAACAGCATTCCTGCTTTTGGAGGGTTTGTTTCCTTGGGGTGGCTTTTTTAAAATGTACTCTCAAATTACTTCTTAAGAAACTACTGGAAAAAGGTTTTTTATATGTAATAAGAACCCACTAGGCTGAGTTATACCAGCATAATCATAATGATTTAAATCTCCCATCTTCCCCCACACTGATATTACACTTAAGCCCTTAAGACACCCGATAACCATCTCAATGGCCAAATCCACAAAACAGGCAGCCAGCCAGAATTACCTCACCCCCCCAAAAATGTGCAACCATCTGGGGAAGAAATATGATCAATAAGCCATCCAGCTCTTGCTCAGACAGACAGCGGCCAGCAAGAAGCTGCTGTAGTTATCAGAAGCTCCTTTTACAATGTGGGTGTTACGCTTTATTATCACCGATTTTCAAAGGCTGATGAGCCTGAAATTGAAAATAAATATTCCCCCAAATTGCCTTTTTTTTTTTTTAATATTATGCTGCACACATGTGGGTTTTTTAGCTCTATTATGTGTAGCCTCTATTACACACCTAAGACTGCAGACTTTGAGCTATTTCATCATCAAGGCTGTCTCTTCAGTACAAAATTATCAATACAGCCATGATTTATGGAACTGTGTTTACCCACTTTTTTCCAGAGATAATGCTGCGGTCTGATCCAAGACTACATAAATCTTGATAGTATTTTCAAGAGTGACTGTCATAAATAATTAAAACTAGTCTCACAAGAGAACAGTGCTGTGAGATATTTCACACACTCATCTGAAGATGCTGACATCCACTCTAAGTGCACTCACCTAAAGTGGAGTATCAGCTGCTTCAATCTCTCTGGCTCTTTAGAAGCAAGTTTTTTCAGATGGATTAGAATGCTACAGGTCTTCTTTTGCTTCTTTAATATACATACAGAAGGAAGAAAACCAGTTTTTCCCTTTCCATATCGCAGAGGACCTTAACTATTAATCAGAAATATTCTACACTAATCAGGAAGATCCTACTAAGGGCAGCTCTCTCAAAGATTAAAATCAATTGCAGCTGCAGCATAAACATGACTCCAGAAGTCATTACTATTTTAAATAACTGGTTAATTAAACCTACTTTCATTATGATACAGTCTCATTACACTAATGTTCCACCTCATTTCAAAACCAATGTAAATTTCCACAGACAAAACATTTCGTGAACAAAGGCTTATGATGAAGAGGGGGAACACAATAAAGGAAAAATCAGTGAAATGACAGAAAAACTGCTAAGGAATTACTAAGGAAATGTACTTTCACCCCTCCCAAATGCCTACTGAAACCAAAGCTGTAGCATCTTATGGATTTGTCTTAACATTAAAGGTCATTATTTTGGGCAAAAGTGAGACACAGAAATGCACCCATTCCATGTTTTTGTCAGCAACGCTCTGACAACCCACAGATTTTCCTACTATTTTTACATTAAAAGAAAGCCCACAAACTTAAAATCTGCTACAGCAACAGGAGACCGTGCCTGCTCAGCCCTTAACACGCAGCCTTAGGCTGGGACAACAGAGAGGCCACAACCCAAGTAAATCTCTCTCCTCTTGGGCCAAATCCCCATCCAAATGGTTGGGAGCTGAGGAGCAGCTCCTCTGGCCGCCCCCCCTGAGCTGCTGTGCCCACTGCCACCACAGCAAGGAACACAACCTACGGTTGTCTCTCTCAGCTATCCTGCCTGAGCGTGGGAGCTACGTGACCGCTCTTGCCTTCCTGGGGTTTTTTGGGGTGTGTGTTTAGCTTTAAAGCCTCCTTGGAACACAGAGCTCTCCTGTCCTCAAGGATCACGGGTGAAGGACACCTGAACCTAGGAGAGACAAAGGCAGAGAGGAGTGAATGCTCAGCACCTAACCCTTGTTCCTCCCACCACAAGCAGTTCACTATAGAGATCCAGACACCGCAGGGCGAGGGAATT